CAGGCAGGCATCAAGGCTGAAGCAATCAAGACCAGCAGGAGCAGCCAACACACTACTCTGATGATGGAAACGAGAGGCTTTCCGAAACGTCTGTTCAAATGCAATTTCGTCCATGAATTCGCCTTCCCTTCTTCGTCTTCTTCGGCGGATGATGAACGCGACACAATATCTGGACCTCGAATCTTTACCCATATCGATATATACGTATGTGTATTGCATACTTATGCGCATTTCTAACCGAAACGAAAGTTTGTGCCCAAACAAGCCTTTTAACCAACCCTAGCCTACAAAATCAATAATGAACTGGCAACTACGAATGATGGGGGGGAACCGAAAACGTAGGCGGCGTTGAAGAGGGGCTAGAAAGAGGAAGGTAAGAAGGAGAGTTGAGGGGGCTGATTCGCCTAGGCAATGTAACCCTATCCACGCAGCATTTAATTTAACTTTAATCAGCACGGCGCATCCCTTTTAGCATAAGGTTATGCCCTAGGAATTCAAGAAAGTGTGCAAAATCTATCAGCCAGCAGAGTTGTCGTAGAACGAAGTCCTAAAAATGTCCCCAAACACTTCCAAACAAGAAGCAGCAGAACCTTTTGTTGTCTTTCTATTCATGTCCTGTTGCGAAAACTAGTATGCACTTGGGTCTCTAGCGAACGACCAAGACATATTTTTATTTAAGGCAAATAAGGATTACCGGCAAAGAAAACGAAGACTGGATCGTCTGGATAATTGGCGTCTTTAGCCAGCCCTATCCAAACCCCGAGGTATATATACACTGCGTGACCTAACTCATGAAATGTGTCGAACTTTACGAATGATTGCCAATCACTCGCAAACCGACACCATTTCATGAGTCAGATGTCCATGCTAATTAAGTACAAGTTTAAAAGAATTAACAACATAAAAGAAATATTATAGGCAGTGTTGTGTTGTTTAGAAATGCCGATTTTTTTTTAGAAAAGCGCAATATCCCGAAAACGTCAGAAATGGCTCTGATTAAGTAAACTTCGCTTTTAGATGTATAGAATGTATTCTCAAGCCAAACACGTAGTAACTATGACAGTAGACATAAAATTACGTCTAATGACAACGTTTCAGTGAATTTTACATCTAAATATCGTTTAATAAATAGTGTGACTTCATGTATGACGGTTTGTCAACTGCCTACATTCTGGGTGTAGATTCCAAAACAGTTTTCCAGTGTTTCATAATTTCATTAACGATTTGGAGTTAAATAAGATGGGTTTCAACAAGAGAAGCTGGATTTTGCTTGATTTCGCCGATGGGGACGGCGTATGATCAGAAGTTTTCATAAGGTCACATGCCATGAGTCGGTCGGTGCCTAGTAAATTTAAATAGAACTGCATGGCGTGATCGTAAACATACCATTTTGTGTTTATAGAGAGACCTTTTCTCCCGTTAAGTTGATTTATATTCTTTTTTCGTCTTGAATTACGTTGAGTTTCAGATCGGCCTAGAAATACTGCTGAATACTTCATGATTTTCAGTGTTTTCACCCGATCGCCCATAAAGACAGATTTTGAATTACCTGTTTGTTGAGAACTTGGAAATAAGATTATTCTTGAAGGCATTTACCGAATTAGTGAGTGTTCAGGCACTCCTTTTCACGAAAATGGTCGTGAAACTCAGTCAAACATCAAACTTAATTTTCGAGAAAAATAACTGTCCACAATGAAAGTCAGCAACGAATATGCCTTGGATCAATTAGAAAACTTTCTTTACTAATTTTCCCCTTACAGAGTATTCTACTTTTCAAAAAAAACGTGTTTGCCTTTAAAAATATATTTATAGGCAGGTAAGGATTACCAGAAAACCAAAGGGAAACTGGATCCGTCATGTCTGGATAATTAGCGTCTTTGGCCAACCGTATCCAAACCCCGAAGTATATATATTCCTAACTAGTCTGCATTACTGACCGAAATGAAAATCTTCACCTCAACCGTCTATCTAACTAGACTTAGCCTGCAAACATAAGAATAAACTGACAACTACGAATAAAAAAAGGAATCAAATACGTAGGCGGCGTTGAAGACAATTAGAAAAAGGAAGGGAGGAAGGAGGATGTGAGGAAAAGGGGACACACTGACAGCTTAACCATATTCACATAGCCTTTATTTAGAGCAGAGCGAATATGAGTCTGTCCAAGCTGTCATTTTTTTGCCCGCGCTGGGCGCTCTCCAAACCATAAAAAGGATAATTTAATGGACACGGTGCATCCCTCTAAACATTCGGCTCTCCCCAGGGATTCAAGAGAGTGGACTTACTCTGACACTGGGAAAAGCTGTCATAGGGCCAAATCCTAAAAAGGTTCCGAAACGCGTTCTACCAAAAAAGGGCAGAGCCTTTTTGTCTTTCTCTTGATTTTCTGCTGCGAAAAGTAGTATGCACTTGAGTCTCTAGTGAAAGACAAACTGTGAACCAAGCTGCGTACTCTTTAGTTTCGAGGGTGTTGAAGTTCCTCTCTAAGAGTTCGGTTTATTAATTGTTAAGCGACCCGCACTTAACTGGCATTCGTGATCTATAAAGACAGCTGAGCCATTATTTGTTCTTGATTAACTGTGTCCTAAATGCGACTTTTAAGGTCCAGAGACTGTAGAAAGTTAGGCATAGCAAATGCTAATAACGATCTTTAGCGAATAAGAGTACGTTCGCTTTATCGTTTTTTTTTCACATTGAACTACTCAAGCCGCGCTGAAAGCCGTCCACATCATAAGAAAACGTTTAGTTAGATGGACACGGCGTATCCCTTTTAACATTCGGCTGCTCCCAAGGGACCAAATCTGTCAGACAGCAGAGTTGTCGTAGAGCAAAGTCCTAAAAATGTCCCTAAACACGTTCGAACAAGAAAGAAGAGAACATGTTTTGCCCTTATGATTAAAAACGAGTACTAAAACTAATATGTACTTGAGTATCTAGTGAAAGACAAAGACATACTCTGACCCAAGCTGCGCACTCTTTGGTTTGGTGTTTAAGTTCATCTCTAAGAGTTCAACTCAGTAATTGTTAAGCGGCTCGCGCTCAACTGGCATTTGTGATCTATAAAGACAGTTGAACTATTATTTGGTCCTGGCGGGCTGTGCCCTAAATGAGAATCTCGAGGTCCAGAGAATGTGGAGAGTTAGCCATAGCAAGCGGTATCCACGATCTTTCGCATTTCAAGTAACGGACGCAGCTTTCTTCCTTAGTAACCCTGCACGTTCACCCTTTCGGATGTAGACGCAGGAGTAAAATTTCGGATTTTTAAGGTGAATTGGAAACAAGCGATTCAAGGCTGCCTGATTGATATTAGTGAGTTACCTATTAGGCGCGCATTTAAAGGACCTGAATTCTCTCAAGGCGTAACAGTCCAAAAGGGAACCCTTTTGAGCTCTCTACCCTATTTATGCTTCATTAACAGTAATGGGAACTGTCAATCATTATGGTTCTTGTGTTCTTTCATTTTTGTCAATTTTATTGCTCAGAGCACACATTTACTGCCGTGTGAATTAAATAAGCATGTTGGACTTTATAGTCCCGATAAAGTGAGAACCTATTGATTCTATCGATTAACATATTTTAATTTTACTATGGAGGACTTAAAATTTCATGAGTAATTGCCTATTTATTATCATCATCGTCGGATGTTAGAACTTTGCAAGCCGGGCTCAAATGACCATGTGGTTACTTTTTAGGCGAAGTGTTCTGCTCTTTTTACTCATGGAGTTCTGGTTTTTCTTCAACAAAGGCGATAGAAACCGACTCTTCCTCCCTCCGTTCTGCATTTGGTAAATGCTGAGCTTGAGGAAGGGGCAGATCGAAAGATGGGGTTCATCCTCTTTGCAACAGATTTACAAATGTTGCCTGTTTCGCAAATACATGCAAGTGCTATTTGTTCATGAGGCTGGGGTTGGCTAGCTGATAAATTAGATCACTTATGGCTGGAGCAGATACGCGGGAGAGAGGTGGAGGGATATGTATGACACGGCATCACGGAGACTTTGGACACACATCCCGCCGTCATCTCCATGCGGGCAGTCAGATGTTTGAAATCGGGGCCATGGGAGCCGCAAGGTCTGCGCAGACTATTTCTGTGCACGGCCTGTCTGCTGTCATCATCAGTGCGCACCATCGGCGCACCCTGACATCTCAGGCCAACTTAAGGAACTCTTTGAAATTCTCCTTAGAACCAAACGGTAGGCAGCTCCACCAGACCCGCGAGCATAGGGCTGTTCACCATTCCCGTCCCCTCCTCGACAGATCTTTTTATGCGTCCTTTTGCACGACGCCCAACTCGTTCGGTCAAGAGAGGAACTTAAAGACACCCGGAGGCTGTCTGAGGCATAACTTGCCTTTTCCCTGAATGCATATGGTCAGAAGGATTGAGAAAGAGTCTATATGTCGACAAGTAATAAGATGCAAGAATTGACTGATTTGTATGCTGGTAGACACACGTCCCAGTTTTGGACAGACTGCATTAACTATCAAGTCTATTCACCCCAGTTAACAGGGCTGCTCGCCATCATCCCGCTTTCAAAAACCACCTTGGAGCCTATAGGAGGACTAAGTAAGTACGTAGTCATCCGTACTTTTTTTATTTTAGGTGCGAAACCTTTCTCGAATACATTAGTTTGCCTCTATGACTCATCTGCCGTAGCATTACCCACTTCCTACTGGTTTGAAAAAAAACGAGGAAGTGACGGGAAGTTACAGCACAGGTGAGTAGGAGGACGAACGAATTCGCAGAATGGCACACTGTGAATCTAGAAGGGCGAGGAGATTTCTATCCACAAAGACATGGGTCGGGCATGTTTAGAAATCTACCCTTTTATCTCATTTATTTAATTGTGATTTTTAATGGCTTATATGGTAATAGCTCACGAATGGGGTTATGCGATAGACTGATATTTTTCTGGGCCGATTTCGTGGCATTTCTGAACCATTCGTCAGTCGTTCTGTGAAATTTTCGTCCGAGTTTTACCTAACGGGGTGCATCATCAACTCTACTGATGCGCGTTTGACAGTTTGCACTTTAAGCGCAACAGAATTTCTTTATTCGATAAAGCCGGCAACTGCGGGCTGCGTTTCAAAAAAACGACTGTTGAATATTCTCTGGACAAATAGGAATTAAGAACAGCAGGAGCGTATACAGCGTCAGGATTAGAGGACGAGAGGGTGAAGAGAAAAGGTAGTAGGAGGAGCAGGAAAAAAATAAGGAAGATGAGGAAAGGACAAGTAGGAGGAGTTAGGGGGAAGGTAGAAGGGAAAGGGGGAAAGGAGGAGGATAAGGAGGAGGAGGAGGAGGAGGAGGAGAAGAAGAAGAAGAAGGAGGAGGAGGCGGAAGAGGAGGAGAAGGAGGGGAGGAGGAGGGGGAGGAGGAGAAGGAGGCGGCAGCGGCAGCGGCAGAAAGGGAGGATAGGCTGGCCAAGGGGGAGGATGATGTTTAAGAAAGGGAGGAGGAAAAGTAGGGCAACGACGATGAGGAGAAGCTTAGGAAGGAGGAAGAAGAGGGGATGCAATAGGGGGAGAAGGAGAGGAAGTCGAGAACCACACGGATGACGCAAGCAGGGACGGCTGAGTTCGCAATGAGGGGGGAAGGGAAGAGGGGGAAGGCAAAAGGCCGAAGATCCAGTGAGACGGACGCAAAATCCTCGACCTATAAAAAAGCCTTCTAGCGCTCACATTTGTAAAGATTCAGTCAGTGGACTGGACAGCCACCAGACATAAATTTGCCTGAGGCAATTCAGCCACCGCTTGAAATAGCTGGAAGCATTAAACGGCAATAATACGTCCTCGATTTCAGATATGCTAGTCACTGTTGTAGACATATGTCCCAAAATATGGACATATTTTTGTTTATGCGTGGATTTTATCCTTCATCCGTCTTTTCCATGGGCCTTAACTGTTCGCGCAGGAGCTATTATCCTCCGATTCTCCTCTTTAGGAGAAAGAGATTCATCAAAGACACGGCAGTAATCTTGGATGTATCTGGTTCGCAGATAGTGATGAGGCAGGCAGGCGTCTTGGAAGTATTCCGTTGGGAAATCTGCTAAGCGTTGTTCGCAGGAATGAAACTGTCTTAGATGAGTTGCATCAAATTCTGCCATTCTGTAGATCTAAATGTTTTTATAGCTTAATTAAGGCACTGGACTTTCAGTTGAAAAAGTCAACAATTATTTACTAGCAGTATCTGACCTATTTCGTGAAATACGCAGTTTGGGTTGTAATATTGATTATCTTTCAGCAAAATCCCACGATATTCCCCTCACACTAAGATGGTGGCTTTTAAGGTAGCTTTTTAAAGCCATTCTCAAAAGCCACACTCGGTTGTAAATGACTTCTTAAGCAATATGAATTTCCCCATTGATTCCCGATGTCCTTATAAATCCAAACTGTTTCTATGGTAATTATGTACATTTAAATTCATTTGTAGAGTCTTTTGGCAACAACACGCCTATAGAAGTCATTATTTTCAACTTGAAAAAGTTTTTTTATTATGAGACTTTCAAAGCCATGAAATGCCTATGAATACGGCACCTTGTCCCTCTGTCTGTCAAGTAAACTTAGGCAGCATACAACACAGTCCATATTCACTGTAGGATTCTAAGATCCCAATCTGACGTCTTCACCATAGGAAAGAGAATTTAATGAAATTCTTTCCTCATGAAGTATACAGCATGTAGTTTTGAAACCTCATACGCGTGTGTAACTGCCGGTGGGGTCCAAGATTTTCGGAGAATTTAAAATGTTCTCAGCGCCTCAAGATGCTCCACCACGAAGCTTATTTTTCAACGAGATGTCTTTTAAAAGACGAATGCAAGAAATTAATTTTACCCAGATAATTGTACTTTGAAGCGAAACTGCCAATTACCTCAACAGCAGTTGACTTCCTGTGCACATAGCATCAACATCGTTGCATTATCGAGGAAGTGTTTTCTGTCGGCAAGCAAGCATGACTTCTAGTCAACTTTTTAAGAGATTAAGCCACACCTTCGTAGTTCCTCCCAATCCCTAGCCTAGAAAACCGCCCATTAGAGGAACTATAAGTGGGTGGCACACTTACGTTTGGTTCTACTTTTGGAAAACATTCCATCGATGGTAGAGGGCGCTCACCGATCGTTCTTACGGAACTCATTCCTTCCGTTGTGCTTTACGGGCTCTCTATCTAGCCCAACCAGCAGTCGTACAGCGGTGCATGATATGGGCAGTATGTTATTACCGACAAAGACAAGGTACAACGGAACGAATGAGTTCCGTAAGAACGATCGGTGAGCCCCCCCCTACCATTGCATATTCCGGATCGATACCGACAGGGCAACGGGCTCGTGGCTCAGTGGTTAGAGGCGTGGACTTCCAACAAACAGGTCGCGAGTTCAAGCCTCGGGTATTGCACACTTCGGGGTTGGGTATGACTGGCTGACGACGACTAATGAGCCAGAAATGGCCATTCCAGTCTCCCTTGTCTTTTTTCGGTAATAACATAATCCTTCCATCAAAACTATTGTCAACGAATAATAAGCTTAAGCACTTCTGGGATAGCACAGTATTCGAAATGCAGTATTTAGTGCGTGCCAAATTGATTATTCGGTAGAAACGCCTATGGAAACAGAAAGTTGAATTCCTGTATAGACGACAATATTAGAGCAAGTTTAGTTTCGCTGTACGAATAGTCAGATATCCAATTAAAGCCTTGATTTGCAATTTGTTTATTAACGCTCCTATGACTGGAGGCATAGGAAAGGGACGGTGTTCGTGAAAATGTCCAGGTTTAACAGCAAAAAAGCAAAATGAATTACAACGACCGTAAACAACGACAACATCCATCGCGTGCCCCATGCGATGAGCACAACAACGCCGACTTGTCCGTGAAATAATTTAGAGAGAGGCAGACTTTCGTGGCATCTACTTCGCCCTCGGCCGCAATGATTGGCAGGGTTGAACACCCACCCTACGCGCACTGCGCACATCACTGTCCATACCACATGCACAGGAATAATCGTCAGGGGAGATTTCTTGGCCCACTTTAGTGAGAGTGCAATAAAGGCGAAGTTGTCGAGGACCCATTACAGTCTGACGCGCAGTCCTGAGGGGTCGTCCGATATTTTTATATTTTTCCCCAACACAGCTTCACTTTATCTACTTATACAAGTGTTGGTGCCTCAAAAATGTAGTGTTTGCAGGCAAGCGTTCACTGCCCTAAACTTTATTGGTCTTTTTGGCATTCATAAAAATCGGGCGACGACACGATTACATTTCACACTTTCTAGTCGACACTACAAAGACTTGCAGATATTTGAAGAAAACTTGCCAATTGCAGTTGTTAAAAACTGAAACCTGCCTTTCCTTTCAAAACCGACTTTCAGCGGGAAGGCGTCTTTTAAAAAACGATCGCGACGATAAATTACTTGGACGGGTATTGATGAGCGTCAACACCGTTGCGTTATCTAAGGAGCGCTTTCATGTCGAAAAGCAGATACGACTTTTGGTTGACCTTTGAAAGGGTTCATGTACACCTTCAGAATCTCCACGTAGGGGTTCTTGTCTAATAGCCAACTCCTCGCCTGGAACGCGGTTAGTATCCCTGCTTCATCAGACATGGAAGAGCGTGCAAAACTGTTCAGTCCCATCCTTAAAACATTGTCATACGCTACCATAAACATTTATGAAAAAAACAAGCTGAAAGTCTGTCCGACGATTTTTTTAAATCGGAGTGCAATAAGAGGACGGCATACTTACTTTTATTCATGAGTAGACGACTGAATTAGATGAATGTTATTTTCGTTGTACAAGTAACCAGGTATTCAATTAACACCTCGATATGCAATTTATTTATTAATACTCTTGTGGTGGGAAACACAAGAAATGGGTGGTACTCGTAAAATGGCCAGGTTTACATGAAAAAAAGCAAAATGTGTTGCAACTAATGTTCATCGCGTGCATCATATAGTAAACACAATAACGAGGACTCGCGCGCGAAATAGTGCATAGCGGGGGTAGACTTGCGTAGCTTTTATCGCACCCTGCCTCTATAATTTTGTTCCGGTGGCAAGACAGTATCCACCCTATCGGTAATAAACTCGGCCGCAGTGACTGTCAAAGTTATACTTCCAATCTACGCGTGCCACGCACGTGACGGTGCACGGGTGGGATTACTTTTTGGGGGAGATTATGGTTTCCCGCGCCAATGAGAATGCCGTGACGGCCACATATAAAAGGATCCGTTACAGCCGAATTACAAGTACTGAGAATGAGCGAATTACCCTGACAGAGGGTAACCTTCTATGCCATGACTAGTAAGGCGTCCTGACGCGTACCACACGCATGTATGGATTTTATGAGTTACTCACAAGCCCACAAGCCTAATGTCCCCCTTCGACCGATCGTTACCTTGAAACGCAGCCCCGCTTACAATCTATCCAGGTAGATGGCCAGAAAAGTTAACTTTCTCCGAGAAGGCTCGAGGACCTCCATCAATTCGGCCGAACGGCTGCCTGTCCTTGACGTTCTTTTCACACGCACACCCAATGGCGAACTCAGCACCACGGTGTACGGAAAGGCGACTAACACGACTCACATTTGCAGCTACCATAGTAACCACTCTATGGTGCATAAACGCAGCTGTGTTAAGACATTCTTCCAAAGGGTAAAAACGCACTGCTGTGAGCCAGTGGGGCGAGCATGAGAACTCCGGCATCTTCGGCACCAACTGGCAAGGAATGGATACCCGAACAGCTTCGTCAGCCGCTGCCTCCACACGCACCCACGGCGAACAAACGGAGGAGATCCGCCAACACGCTGGCATTCTCTGCCATATATAGAGAATGTGTTTGAAGCGATGGAACGTGTCGCTGAAGAGCTCGGCGTGGGTATCGCTCACCGTCTGACAGCGACCATGCGCAAGAAAATCAGGCAAATGAAGGAGCGACTAGACGTGGCAGAACAGTCGGGTGTCATTTGTCAGATACCCTGTCGGGACTGCCCTCACCACTACACAGGACAGACCGGACGACGACTTAGCTCACGACTAACAGAGCATAAGCGGGCAATCCCGAGAGACGACCCGTTGTCTCAGGTCACCACTCACACCCTGGAGGAAGGCCACGAATTCAACTTCGCGAGCACGCGGATAGTGGCGTGGGCCAGCAAAAAGGCAGGGCGAGAACTAATGGAGGCCTGGGTGTCCGAAACCAACCCTATCAATAGAGCTGTTGATATACCCCCCTGCTATTACGCGCTCCGTTCCCGCAGCCAAAAGGCGAGACCCAATTCTCAGCCAAGGGTGCGCACAGTCACGCCGCCGTGAGACGGCGTGGACTCAGCCTAAACGCGAATACCACCCTCTCCCCCTTCATTGTTTGACTACAAAAACTGCTCATTTGACGCTGCGATCTCGTAGTCTCCGACGATGGTCTCCTGTACGAGACCGAAAGCTCAGACTAATACATGTACTGTCCCGGAGATCGCGTGTTCATCTTCTTTAGATGCCATGATGTTTTGTATTTCGAAAATTCATTCGAGTTTAACATCTCCCGGAATAGGTTTTGTGCACGGGAAGCATTCGCGATTAAAGGCACTGAAATGTTTAATCCTGACGCATGTGTAAATCCTGACGCATGTGTAAATCCTGACGCACGTCGAAGCGCCTGGCTGGGTGCTAGCTTTTAGCTATCAGGCAGCTTTTAACTACCTGCCCTGTTGTTCATTTAATCTCCTGGACGCAGTGAAGCGTACGCAGTTGTTTTATTACTAGGGCCAATTTTGTGGGTTTTTCTACGGAGCCTTCGTCTGCTTCCTGTCTCCTGTCATCCTTATTCTGAATGACAGAATACAGTGCGTGGACTAACTCATGAAATCTCAACCGAAATTCCGAAATGCCTGTTCGTTTCAAAAAGATTACTTAAGTAGGGTTGTAAGACTAATCATCGGGCAGCGTGATTTTATAATAATTCAGTTGCTTGAGGATGCCGGCTTTCGAATAAATTTCTTGCCGGCTGCATGAAAAAACAATACTCCTTAAAAGCTGACTATTTAAATAACGTGCATTTTTTCATTGATTTTCGATGCCCTTTAAAACTCAATCATATTTCATCGAAAATATGCCTTAAAATGTTTATTCTTCTACTTATTCGGTATTAAATTACGTCTCCTTTAATGTCATACTCGAATGGGGAGTGAAATTCGGTTTAGAATAAGTTTCTAATTGTGAGATTTTTGATACCGTAAAATAGCCGTTCATAAAACGTTATGTATATGTATTTACAAATATGGCTTGTAAAGTTAACAATGTTGCTAAAATCCACTTTTTAATTTTATATGGCCTCCCCTTAATACCGTAGAGAAATGCATGGTGTGCCGTACACGGAAAATATACGGCTGGTAATTACGAAACCCTGAATACAGTTATAAGAGCAGGTCGAGCTCAAAATTATTCGAGAATTAGAAAAGTTTCTTAAAACCGAATTATACTCTCCTTTAGAATATAAAATTGGAAGAAGACGCAGTTATCTGCCGAATGAGTGGAAGAATGAATATTTTTATGCATGTTTTCCATGAAATGTAATTTAATATTTAAGGGCATCGGAATTCAGCGAGAAAGTTGCATGCTATCTAAGTAGTCATTTTTTGCAGAGTATGGTTATTGCATGCAGTCCAAAATAAGTTCGTTCGAAAGCCGGTACCCTGAGGTAACTGGATCAGTATAGAATTATGCTGCAAGCTGATTAGTTTTACAACCATACTTAATTAATCTTTTCGAAACAAGAAGGCATTTTGAAATTTCTGCCGACAGTTCATGAGTTAGCACACCTTCTATAGGTGGGACTTTGTAAATAACACGGAAGGCTTCGCTGGGATCCACACGGTAGAGCTACGTATGCTCTTAACCTCACCCTTCCTCATCCATGCCGGGGCAGGTGTTCTCGTACTTTTTTGCGGATAGGCGCCGACTCGTACGACGAATGGAGCCTGCTCCACTGGAGCAAGTAAAGGAGTAAATGCACATGCCGTTGGTCTGAGCTGGTAGCCTAGGACGGGGTTGGTCGAAAACAATACTTGAACTCTTGCTGCCAGGAAGGTCCGTCGGACTCAGCTTATAGCGAATACCACCCTCTGCACTCATACACCCCTCCTTCATGGCTTGACTACAAAAACTGCTCATTTGATGCCGCATTCTCACAGTCTCTGACGATAGCCTCCTTTACGAGACCGAAAGCTCAGACTACTACAACTACTGTTGCAGAGATCCTTACACGCATGTAGGTACGGCTGTGGTTATGGGGACGCCCGCGAACTCTGCGCAGTCGGATTGGCACATGCCTGTCTGACCTCCGTTTCGGTCAAGCCTATTTGCAAACCTAGCCGCACACCCACATACACATACCTAGAAACAGTACAGGGTCATTTGAGCCCAACTTTGCTTCTGTTCACAGAAAGACACGAGACTAGGGAATTAACGATGCATGTAACAGACTGATAGCTTTGGTGTACTTTCACATTCAGGTAAGCAGTCATCACATGTTGCTTTCGAATTTTGAGCATCGGCCGCATTAGGTCTCGCATAGTAAACGCGACTAGAGAACTTCACAGCAGAACAATACCAGATAAGATCAGCGTCTCCAAGTGCAAACTGGAGTGAAAAGGGAGACCTCACTACTTATATGTGCATATGTACAACTGGTGCCGTATTAAGCGCGACATTTTGGGTTCTAGGAGTTCTTCGGGCAGGAGACCAGCATCCGCTTGCAGATCTGGCCGTGTTGTCCAGGGTGAAGGCTGATGGAAGAGGTGTGTAGATGACCAGGATTAGACAACCTTTGTGTATTCGATTGGCACAGAACTCGTAGGTGACGCAGAAGTCGAGAACGACCGGCACTTCTCTTTTAGAGAATCCATTCACAGGTATAAAAAGTCCATTAATGCATGCCTGTAAAAAAACTAAATCCAAGCCGGAATATTTAATTTCTGGAGAAAGCCCTAAATTGTTTGAATATGCTAGCTAGCGAGCGAACCAAAGCGTCCCCTCCTCCGTGTGGGTACGTAAAGGAGATTTGATCCGCTAGGTTGTCGGGGGCATAATTCAAAATAGCGAAAGTAAAATTCACACAAATTGAAACAACTCAGATATAAGGACTGACTGAGCATTAAAAAATTACCTCAAATATCCGGCATAAATTAATAATTTAAAAACAGGGGAAATATGCCTGTCCTTATACTTTTTTGGTAAGAAGAAATGAAATTTTGATTGGTAAAGACACCCTCAGCTCAACCAAGCAGAGGCTCCTGATGGATCCTATTTGAGTGGACGTTTGAGAGCGTCAAGCAGATAGAAGATTATTCGGAAGGATTTGGATTTTTTTGTACTCCCCATGGTCAAGAAACAAGTGACCAGATACCGAGAAAAAAGAGGAAAGTGTTAACTTAAAATGTCGTAACTACTGCGGCAAAAGCAAAGCTTAGGCTCTGTACCTCAGGCATAACATACGCGGATATCATGTCAGTGAGGGAATCAAGTAATCATTGATACGCCGACCGAAATATAAAGGATGTCTCACCAGTCTGGTTTGGATGACTTCGTAGAACTAGGTCAGCGTTAGGGGGTGTGGGCAACAATAACATGAAGGATTTGATTAGCAGGGTGCCTGTCAGTTCCAAAATCTCGTGGTAATATCCTATTATTTAGGAACACATAGGAGCCATCAACAGTAAAGTAGGGTGTGCGAAGCGCATGACCCTACGTGAGAAGGAACATGGAACGAGAAAAGACACGACAAGAGGGAAAACTGATGTGTTCAGATTGATAGCTTTGGGGTATATTTACATTAAGGTCAGCAGTCATCGCGTGTTGCTTTCGAATTTCTAGCATTGATATTTTAGACTCCGTATAACGAACATGAGTAGTGCGGCGGAAAACTTCACGACTGAACGATTTCAGGTAAAGTAAGCCGCTTTAAGTAGAGTGAACAAGGAGGCCTCGCTACTTTTATGTGCATAAGTAGAACTGGTGCAATGTGACGCGCTGTAGTTTAGGTTCTTGGAGGTCTTCGCGCAGGATACCAACACCAGCTTGCAGATCCGAGCGTGTTGTCTAGGGTGAGCTGTATAAGTGACAACCATTGTATATTCGATTGATACAGGACTCGTAGGTGACGCAGAAGTCGAGAACGACCGACACTTCTCTATTCGAGAATCCATTTACAGGTAAAAAAAAAAGTGGTTATTGTTTACCTATAAGGAGTCACGTCTAAGCCTGAATACTTTATTTTCGAAAAGGCCTTAAGTTGCCTAATATGCTGCTGGAAAGTAAATCGAACCTTCTCCCTCTCTGCCTATGTACTTGTAAGAGATTTTTACGGTGAGTAATCAAGGACATAATTCAAAATAAGTAAATTCAACTTCACATAAATTCAAACAACTGAGAAATAAGGGTTCAATAAGCATTAGACATTACCTCAAAAAATCTTTGATATTGACTGCTAATTTAAAAACAGGAAGAAAAGGTGTGCCTTTATCCTTTTTTGTTAAGAAGAAATAAGATTTGATTGCTGAAGACACCCTCAGATCAACAAATCAGAGGCTCCCGGAGGGACCTATTGGAGTGGAAGTTTGAGGGTATCGAGAAGATGAAAGATTCACGAGGTCGATTTAGAACCTTGCGTCCAATAACGTGTTCTGGTTGCATTATAATAGAGGAAACTTTCTCCACTCCCCGCTATCAGGACATAGATATCTGGATACGGAGAAATAAGAGGAAATTGCTAACTTAAAATGTCGTAACTACTGCCACATAAAACGAATCTCATATTCTGGACCTCATATTTAATATCCGCGGAAATCGTGTCAGTGAGGGTATCTGGTGATCGTTGATACGCCGACCGAAATAGAACAGATTTCTCACCGGTTTGAGTTGGATGACTTCGCAGAACTAGGTCAGCGTTAGGGGGTGTAGGTAACAATAACATGAAGGATTTGATTAGCAGGGTGCCTGTCAGTTGCAAAATGTCGTGGTATTATGCTATTGGTCAGTAACATATAGGAGACATCAATAGCAAAGGGTGTCTGCGAAACGCATGACCGTTAGTGAGAAGAAACCTGGAACGAGAAGAGACACGACACGACGGAGGCTTGATTCGTGCACACAGTAGATGTGCTAACTCATTAAATGTTGACTGAAATTTTAAAAAGCCTTCTCCACTTGAAAAGACTATTCAGGCTTTAATATTAATCATCATGCAGCATAACCTTACGATAATTCAGTTATTTGGAGATGTCGGCTTTTGAACGGACTTCTTTTCGGCCTTCTTCAAAAACGTGTTTCTGTGAAAAATGACTACTTGCATACCATGTGTTTTTCTGATTGAATTTGAATGGCGTTATATAATCAATCATATTTACAATAAAACATGCATAACCATATTCAATCCTTTACTCATTTGGTAGAAAAGTACATCGTGACATATGAAACTCGATCGAAGGATATAACTGCTGAATAATTTTGAACCCCACTCGCCGTTGTACTTGCGTCCAGGATTTCCAAATCACAGGAAAATCGTACCAGGAGGAGGCCATATCAATTCATAAAATCAAACGGTGGATTGAAGCCATATTGTAAACTTTACAATCAACTTTAATAAATGCAGGGACACGATGTTTTCTGGACGGGCATTTAACGGTCTTAAGATGTATCATAAGTAGAAACTTTTTGAAAGAAAATTACATGCATAAATTGGAAAGTGGAAAGCTGAGCCCTATGGTAGGAGTGCAAACGTCAGCCATGCTGGACGAATGGACTTATCGCCTAAAGATCGTATATATATATATATATATATATATATATATATCAATCAGGAATGGACGCACACCGATCTATTGGCTTCACAAAGCAAACAAGCTCCGTATGTGTGGCAAAGGTCACGAACAGGCAACCAATTACCAGGCCGAAGTCGGCCAAGTCATAATAGCAACGAGGAGGGACGACAGAGAATGCGGGTAGATTGATACAGCACTGTTTCGGGCTTATTCTGCCTTCATTCAGCCAATCATAACCCTGACCACCAGCAGCTGCGACCAGAAACACAAACATGCGCACTCCAAGGAGGAAAATAAATCGGTTTCAAAAAGGTTTTGCAATTCCTGAATAATTTTGAATACGCTCTATCGTTATACTCGCATTTAGGGTTTCTAAACCACAAGCCCTATTTTTACGCGTAAGAAAACCACCTGTTTCTCTACGGTAATAAAAGGGTACTATATAGAGCTCATAAAATTAAACAGTGGATTTGATGCATATTGTTTACTTTACAAGACACATTGGAAAATGCTGAGACATGACGATTTATAAACAACCATTTCATGGTATTTAAAAGTCCCACAATTAAAAAAACTTTTTTAAAACCGAATTATGTCCTTCCTTTGAGTGTAAAATTAAAAGAAGACGTCATTTTCTACCGAATGAGCTGGAAAATGAATATTTTTGTGCGTTTTTCATGAAATATACAGTGCATGACCTATCTCATGAAATGTTGGCTGAAATTCTGAAATGCGTTTTCAATTAAGAAGGATTACTTGATCGCGGTTGGGATACTGCTTATCATTAGGCATACTGTTATACCATTTTATACTCCGCAGGAGGTCGGCTCTCAAATGCACTTCTTTTCAATCTCCTGTAGAAAGCGTGCTCGGTAAAAAATGACTACTTAAGTAGCATGCATTTTTCCTATTGATTTTCGATGGTCTTGGAAATTCAAATATATTTTATAGAAACCACAAACCAAAATATGCTTTCTTTTAATCAATCAATAGAGAATCACGTTTTTTTCTATTTTATATTTAAGGAAGGAGTATAATTAGGTTTTAAAAAAGTTTCTAATTTTGAGACTTTTTAAGACCGCGATATGTCCATTCACATAGCATCGTACCTCATCGTTTACCACTGCTCCTCAGGAAATGTACAACATGGTCCGCATCCATCGCAGAATTTTATGGACTCTGTATAATATCTCTTTAATGACATAGGAAAATATGAGATTTTCTTTACGCGGAGCGCATGCATGTAGAGTGTAATCACTAAACGCTAATGCAACGAATGATCAGGCTCCAAATTTTTCGGCAATTGGCAAACTTTTTTAAAACCTAATTATACTCCTTCCTTAAGTATAAAATAGAAAAAAGACGTGATTCTCTATTGATTGATTAAAAGAAAGCATATTTTGGTTTGTGGTTTCTATAAAATATATTTGAATTTCCAAGACCATCGAAAATCAATAGGAAAAATGCATGCTACTTAAGTAGTCATTTTTTACCGAGCACGCTTTCTACAGGAGATTGAAAAGAAGTGCATTTGAGAGCTGACCTCCTGCGGAGTATAAAATGGTATAACAGTATGCCTAATGATAATCAGTATCACAACCGCGATCAAGTAATCCTTCTTAATCGAAAACGCATTTCAGAATTTCAGCCAACATTTCATGAGATAGGTCACGCACTGTAATCGGACATTTAGGCGCACTGAAAATCTATTAGAAAACTTCATGCAACATATGTAGTCATTTTTCGCTGAGTTTAACTTCAGCATGCTGTCGGAGAGAAGTACTTTCAAAAGCCTTCATCCTAAGGTAACTGAAATATTATAGAATTCTGTTGCAGGTGGACTAGTTTTTCAACCCTACTTAATTAATCTTTTCGAAACGAAAACGCATTTCTAAATTTCGGCTGATATCTCATGAGTTAGCCACCTACTTTAGATGCTCAACTGGCCTGGCTGCTAGCTGCTTTTGCGTAAGCCCTGTTTACTTGAATCCACAAGGGCACATGACCCCATGGTGTCTTGCAATGGCAAACCATCCTTCGTTCTCTGAATTTGAGCAGCTATCGGGGGACTGCTGAATGTGAATTTGGCTGCGTTACAGGCATTTGCTTTTGTGTATCGTAACCATCGCTCGATTATATCTGAAATTTTATCCCCTTTATTGCAAAGGAATGATCTAGCGACTTATTTCGGAACTGCCTGTTTCGTTAATTTTGGCCGCAGGGGTTTGCTTTATGTTTGGATGAGACGGACTGGGTGGTCACGTTTATGCAAGGTACGTGGTGAACCAGCTGGTTTTCACAGGTATGATTATAAAGCCCCAATTCCAGTATTTTATGCATCGCCTTTATGGGATTATTGGAATCGTTGGATTTCACTTAATTTTTTATAACAAACTCGTTTTAATAACACCTACTGCCTCAAGCACTGCCCCTATACTAACCCATGGCCTCGCAAAATGTGATCTGCCAGTGAGAAACCCAGTCGGTCACAATAACAGCTCCGTACATTTTTTTCATCATTTTTTCTCAACATTTTACTATTTGTGTCTCGGAAAGGTGATTAGTGTAGGATTTTGTTCAAACTCTCTAACCTTTTCATAAAAAAGGTAATTTCCTCTTTTTCAGCTCCTTTTTTCACCAAGATGTTTTTAATTTACGCTTTGCCTACTCTCCTGTTAAAAGTTCTTGCGGCAGTCCAGAACTGGCTGAGTGACCTGGGTAGGTAAATGCGCCCCTTGTTGCATTTAAGCTGCCCATTTCCACTTGAAACGGAGGGAACGGGCAGGAGAGTGGCTAACTTGCTCCCCGACCTCCTAAATGGAATAATTAAGTAATGGTTCGACCGTTGAAAGCGACGGCGTCCATTGCGTATCCCAAGAAATTGCGGGAATTTGCTTGTAAATGGGTTGGGCTTGCGAAGCATCTACCTCACCCTCACCCCCTCTCCCACCACACTCAGACGACTAGGCAATATCAAGACAACAGGGGGTGGTCATGAGCGTAGTGGCTGCCCGAGCCGAATAACTCGTCTACGCGTGCCACACGCCGGATGTGGTCCTCATGCGGCGTGTAACAGGCTACGTTAACAGCAGCTCTTATCTGTCATGAGTGGGAATGTCATTAGCTGGTAAGGCATGGTCCTTCAATCTTTCGCAACCCTTTCTCTCTCCCCCTCCCCAGGCCATTTCATCGCCGAGATAAAGCACATCTACTTCGTGGGCTTCCGCAGTTACATGATGAACGCCTACAACCTGATAATCTACGGCATACTGGCGTTATATCTGGCCTCCTACACGCTGCGCACCATCGTCTACGGCTGGGTGCAGGATTCTGACCGCTTCTTCAATGCCACCAACCGCATTGAGGACCTCATTCGACGCAATGAGAGCAAACGTGTGAAAACCATGGTGATGGCCTGGAAGACGTCGCCGCATCATCAGGCCAGCTACTTCCTCGAAGCCTGTAAGTTTGAGCCTGACGAGATGGCGGTTGATTGGCTGCAAAAACATGAGCGGATTTCATATTGACCCAACTGTGAAAAACTCGGCGCCTCGGTGGGACTCGAACCCACGCAGTAAGGAGAAGGCTTTAGTACAGCCAACGCTCTAACCACTTGCGCTACGAGGCCACGCCGGGCGACGCGCGTTTAATCACATTTGGGTCAAGTTACCCGCCCAACCTACTGTAACGTCTGGAATCCACGAAAATTGATACAGTAAGTTGACTGTCCAGACTGCATTTCCTAAGTTATTCACCCAGAATCGACCAGATGACTACCAGGCTCACGTAATTTACAGATGTTTTGGCAGATTTTGAATTACATAAGCCTGGTAGTTATTTGGTGGCTTCTAGGTGAATTACTTAGAAAATCCTGCCTGGGCAGTCAACTTACTGAATCAGATTTGGTGGATTCCAGACGTTGCAGTAGGTTGGGCTGGTAACTTGACCCAAATGTGATTAAACTCGCGTTGTCCGGCGGAACCTCGTAGTTCACGTGGTTAGAGCGTTGGCTGTACTTCAGCCTTCCCCTTACTGCTTGGGTTCGAATCCCACCGCAGCGCCGATTTTTTCACAATTGGGTCAAAATGAATTATTCAAAATCTGCCAAAACTTTCGTGAACAGCTCTTGACGCTCTTTGTTTGGCCCTTTCCTAACCATGCTGTAAGGTGTTCTTTGATTGGTTTGGACAAACGCCGGCTCTTTCGACCAATATATTCTGCCCCCACAGGAGCAGGTGAGGGAGTAAATACACATGGAGGTGGTTTGGGCTGGGAGTTTGTTCCTGCCCTGTCCGTATAGGATGAGAGCAGCGTCTAGAGGTGCATGATACAGCTTGGGTTAGGCACTTTCGTAGAAATTACCTTGGCGCGACCCCTTGAGACGGAACCCTGAGGAAAAGCCACCTCTCCTGCCGTCAGCGTTGGGGACTATGGTGGTTATTCGGTCATGTACTTAGCAGTTGAATGACTGCAAAAACATGAATGGATTTGCCCGCCCTTTTTGTGCTATTGTGGGTAGATCCAACCGCATAATTACGCTTCCTGCGCAGCAAGTAAGCTACGCGCGGAATTACAAAGCAACGCTGGTATGTTAAATTTTGCCGACAGGAGAGGTCGTGTGTTAAAAAGCGACAAAAGCGTAAATTAGAGGTTCACAATTTGAACTCTTCGGAATATGTACGTTTCGTCAAAGGAACTCGTCGGATTTCATGATAATAAAAGACAGGCCACATATCTTTAGGGAATGCCTTCAAACTGCCTAAATCCCGGCTGTACGTTTTGCCTAACTGGCCCTCTGTGCTGTAACAGGAGTAAACGTCTACGGGGTCGATTTAAACAAAGCGGTGTCGCCAGCGTAAGATGAGCGACTTTGTTCCTTTTGTGATGGCAGAATACCTCAACAGTGGACGCAAAAGCAGGCCTGTATGATTGACACTTTTGCATTATAGCAGTGTACTGAGCTAACGGGAGACGGTTCGTCGGGTGTGAGGCGATCTTCTGGTAAATCAAAGCTCAGAAAGGTTGGACACGGAGGCACGAACCCGCCCTCTGCTCCATACAACAATTAATCTCGCGCTAAATTTCATATGGTTCTTATTTCCGTGGCTTAACTTTCATTCAAACACTTACTCTACAGTAGGTGGGCTAACTCAAGAAATGTCAACCGAAATTCTGAAATGCGTTTTAACTTCGAAAAAAGATTAATTAAGTAGCGTTGTAAAACTAGTCAGCTTGAAACAAAATTCTATAAAATTGCAGTTACCTCAGGATGCCAGCTTTCGAACAAACTTCCTTCCGGCTGCATGCAAAAACTACACTCTGTAAAAATGGCTACTTATGTAGCATGAAGTTTTATCATTGATTTTGGATGTCCCCTGACCCCAAACCTTTAACCCTAGCTCTGACATTAACCATCGCCCAAACTCGAACCCTCCACCTGGAATTTAGAGCAGAGCAACCAGTAAGGCGTGGGTGCGCGATTCTCTGCTCAACCTACAGAGATGCATATGTCGTTCAGTGTCAGGTTTCTTAATTCTGAGTAGATATTCCTGAGGTATTTCTCGAGCTAATAGACGCCTACTGAAAAAACGATAGACTGGCATTTTTTCAGCTTATACTTTTTTACAAAAGTTAAGTTATGCATTGTAACAGTGATTTTAGTTCAATACAGTTAAGGAAAAACGTGCCATTTCCAACTAAACGGTTTGATATTTTCGAAACGAGCTTGGATTTAGCCTATATTAAAAGGGCAAAAGTGTGTGTGCGGAAATGTTAACGCTCTGTTGCATTAACTGACGACTAAGTGAATGCCCCAATGGTGAAAGTATTTGAAAAAAAAGTATTTAAAAAAGACAAGCAGATTGCTAATAGCGGTAAGTGAGTCATAAATTTGGAGCTATCTGCTAGTAATTGTCTTCGTAAGAATTGTTCTTGTGATTGGAACATCCAACTTTCACATGAAGTTCAAACAAAAGCGGGGCTCTGAGCTCTGAAGGGTTATACTGCTTTCTAGAGTAAGTTCAGGCATATCAGTATACTATATAGCATTATTTCTTGTAATTATAACCTCCAAGACAGACAGAGGTGCAGGTAGTCCTTGTGGATGGGTATCTCACATTAAATATCGTGTTCAACGGTGGGGGTGCTGGCAGGTACGCAATTGAGATGACAGCAGGATTGCTGGGACTCCTAGCTGTTGTCAACAGTCGGCGAGCAGTCTTTTTCATGATCCCTTCTTCAACCCTACTGATGACGGAGCTCCTCAGGGAGCAGGACGAAACCTCGACCCACTTAGGGGTCCATACCCGTATTGCAACCCATGAATTCAGTAGCTCCACCTCGATAGTGTACTCCTGATAATTAATTTTAGCCGTATGTGTGAGAGAGAGAATTGGCGTTTAACCTCAACTTAATGTGGACCATTATAACACAGAGATTAACTTTAGAAGTTGGCAGTTCCCCGACCGTTAGCTGAGGTGGGTCGCTTGCCACGTACTAACTTCTCAGTACACGTTAACCGTGTCACCCTACAAGAAGGATTACGTTTACGTTCTAGAGAAAACGACTCACAGGTAGATGGTGTAAGAGGAAACAACTGCAGTGAGCGCCACCCCGATGAAACGAGGGTTTCAGAGGCCTCCACAACAGCGCAGCTGTCCAACTTGATCAAGAATCTCATGGTATAGTGATATTCCAACCTTCTGGTGCGTAAAGTTTACCTACAGCGTCATGTATGAAGTTCACACTTCCGAATGCACTGATCGCTACTCTGGTATAAATTCGGATTTAGTTCGGCCTGAACCACGAAACGCAAAATGACTTCGTGAAAGGAAATAATGATGTTACTAACCGCCGGTTGTGTCCTGAGTTTATGAGTCCATGGAGGACTTTATACGTCAGCAGCGACGATGGCTGCCTAACGGAACGAGATATCGTAATCTCTGAGGTAGTTCCATCACCTCCATTCACTCAGGAATGGGCGCACACCGATCCATTGGCTTCCCGAAGAAAACAAGCTTCGTATGGGCGATAGGGTTCACGAACAGGCAACCACCTACCAGGCCGAAGTCGGCCAAGCTATGATAGCAGAGGGGAGACGACAGAGTCTGGGAGTAGATTAATACAGCACTGTTTCGGGCTTGTTTGCCTTCATTCAGCCAATCATAACCCTGACCACCAGCAGCTGGAACCAGAAACACAAACAAGCGCACAGACACACCTGGCGCAGCTGATCCACCACTGGGGTCTACCAGATGGGTCATAAGCACTTCATCGAACCGAAGTTCATAAGTGCCTCGCCACCTGCCACTCTCTGTCGCTGCAAATCGGGTATTTATTCACTCAGGAATGGGCGCACACCGATCCATTGGCTTCCCGAAGCAAACAAACTTCGATCTGCAGCGACAGTGGCAGGTGGCGAGGCACTTATGAACTTCGGTTCGATAAGGTGCTTATGAGCCATCTGGTAGGTGCGTCTGTGCGCATGTTTGTGTTTCTGGTCGCAGCTGCTGGTGGTCAGGGTTATGATTGGCTGAATGAAGGCAGAATAAGCCCGAAACAGTGCTGTATCAATCTACCCGCATTCTCTGTCGTCCCTCCTCGTTGCTATTATGACTTGGCCGACTTCGGCCTGGTAATTGGTTGCCTGTTCGTGACCTTTGCCACACATACGGAGCTTGTTTGCTTTGTGAAGCCAATAGATCGGTGTGCGCCCATTCCTGATTGATAAATACCCGATCTGCAGCGACAGAGAATGACAGGTGGCGAGGCACTGATGAACTTCGGTTCGATGAAGTGCTTATGACCCATCTGGTAGGCCTCAGTGGTGGACCGACTGCGCCAGGTGCGTCTGTGCGCATGTTTGTGTTTCTGGTCGCAGCTGCTGGTGGTCAGGGTTATGATTGGCTGAATGAAGGCAGAATAAGCCCGAAACAGTGCTGTATCAATCTACCCGCATTCTCTGTCGTCCCTCCTCGTTGATATATATATATATATATATATATATATGACGGGAGAAGGAAAGATCGGAGTGGCAAGAGGAGACCTCTTTGGGCTAAGTGTCAAAGCAGTTCAGTATTGGGAGATGTCTGTTATCGAGAAACGCGCTTGGCCAACGTCTGACTGTTGTGCAGGCGAGCTCTTTCTGACTACCACGCTGAGAGCTGTTCAACGCTTTCCTTATGAAGTAGGATATCTGTCTGATACCAAGCAGTGTACTTAACAACCTGATCATCGGCAAGTCTAGCGGGCAGTCGACTGGTGGCCTCAGATTGCCAATGTGATGTGCGGGTTCAGAGGAACAGATGAACGCGCATGCGAACGAACGTATTTAGTAGCAAAATAGTCCATCAGCAGTTAGGCTACGATAAGAACGCGGCACTGTTAACCATTGTGGTGTGGTAAAGCCTGCTAAGAGATACGTGTTCTCAATGTGCGCCCTGATCTTTAAAAAGAAAGGTTCGCCGACAAATACTTACAGAGGAATGAAAGAAGGAATATGAGGGAGAATTTGGATAAGGTCTGGATTAACAAAGAGGTCGTTTAGTCTGGCATTCTCTCCTGCTGCTAGTACGATAACTTGTCTCAGGCAGTCGCGGAAGCCCACAGACGTTGCTCGGCATGGCTTATAGGCCTAAAGCAGGGGAAGGGAGTAATGGAATGCTGCGGAGTCTAACCGTCGGAGTTTAATGAGGGCAACAGGCACTAAATATTGCCCTGTCTGATAGTCAACTCATGAGCTGACATTTGAAAGACGACGAAGACTCAGCGCTGCATTACGTGTTGAAGTCTGAAGTTGGCGGATATTTTGTGAGGAGGTGTTGCGAGCGGAATTTTCCTACTCGGACTCAAGTAAAAAAAAGAAATGCGGTATTCTGTCTGACCTAAATCAAAGAGTGGAACTCTGTTTCTAACAAACAGACGTCTACCGTGCTAAATTATAATGTGCTCATGATAGACAACGATACGAGAATTAAAGGATGTAGGACTTTCAAATCCTAGTAAATACGTACTAAAAAGTGAGCATTCACCGATCGTTCTTACGGAACTCACTCGATTCGTTGTGCCATATGGGCTCTATCTCGAGCCCTACCAGCAGCCGCACAGCGGCGCATGATAGGGGCAGAATGGCATTACCGATAAATACAAGAGTGACTTAAATGGCCGTTTCTCGCTTATTATCCGTCGTTAGCCGGTCATACTCAACCCCGAAGCGTGCAACACCCTGGAGCTGGGTTCCGCAACCTGTTAGTTAGAATTCCAACGCCTCTACCAACGTGTAACCGGTCCCTACCCAATATGGACAGTTGCGACAAACCGATTGAAGACACTAACAATATTTTAAGGATTCGGCAACCTTGTCTTCTTGTTCATTGCAGTGCGTCTCAACACGCCGATATAGCGTTCTTACGTCATTGCGTTTGTGGCTGATTGAGTGGTTGCTGTTGGAGTTCAGTATTTGCGTCGTGTTCGTCGCTTTTCTGAACACTTTGATCTCTAGGCAACCACAATCACTGCGATAGACCAGGACATCAAGAAATGCCAGCTGGTTGTTTTCTTCCTCCTACATCGTAAGTTCATGTCCGCGAAGACGCTGTTAAGACATTTTTTGAACGTTAGCACCTGATCCCGTTCGATGACGACGGAGGTATCGTCCACATACCGAGCCCAGAATTTCGGTCTGTGGTATTGTAAGACCAGCGATTCTAACCCTTGCAGAACCGAATCGGCGATGAATCCGGAAATCGGCGAGCCCATTAGTGTTCCCTTCACTTGCTCGTAGATTGTTCCGTCAAACCTGAAGTACGTCCTGAGACGGAAATTTAGGAGCTGAAGGACTTGGGCTGAGTCATAGGCTGGCCAATGTAATTGACCACTCAGGGAGCGCGCAGGCCGGTGAGCCAGATGACCAAGCAATCATCACGCCACCATTCAACACGGGTGGTGAGATTTCGGCAATTTACAGCTTGCAGGCCGGCCGTCAAGCCATAAGCGCACTAGCGGACAACGATCCTTGATGAAGGGGAGAGCGGTTACTTGCTATAGGTATGCGGTAGCATAGCAACTACATCCTACAAATGCTGCAACTTCCTGTGCACGAGTCACCCTTTTTTGCCACTGTCTCTTAGGATAGGTTCAAGTGAAAATCCGAAAATTCAGGCGAATAAATCCCTTGTTCCAGCGATTGCTTCCTCTTCTGATCACCTAGTACCTGGAACTCGCATCTTCCCTTGTACCGGCAATACAGTTATTCGTGAATGATACTGAAGAGCAACGATCACTGAAGAACTATTTCTAATGTTATTCTACTTGTACTTGTCTGTTTTCATGGACTAGATTTCCATAGATCTATAACCTTAGCTTAGCCACTTAGAGGGTATTTGTCGTTTATGAAATCTTCCAATTTTCCATATAATTTTTTACTTCTAAAAACATAACAATTATTTCAATATTTCTCTCACGTTTTGAAACCGCCTGAAGTCTTTCATTAATGTTTCGAATCTTCGGTTCATAAGTTTATGTCTGCTCGCGAGTGAGCAATAATATTTCGTAAATGCCGGGCCTTTTCATGAGATTTTTCACATAACATAACTTAAGTACCGCCTCCAGTAAACATATGTCTCCCTGTAGCATTTTACATACGTCGATTTTGAATAGATGTGGTTCAACCAGAGCATTAATTATAGCCTACGCCTCTTGGTTGTCTAAAGGGCACTGAAGACTTTGTCACATGTTCAATTGCAGGCAACTTAAAACATTTATGCATCAGACTGGCAAGTATCTGAGGGTACAATTATTTTCCCTCCCGCCCTGCTGAATGCCCAATTACGACCGTCTCTGAGAAACGCAGGTGATCTCAGGAATCATGAGCTCTCTTTCCTCGGGAAATCGAAAGCGCAGTTCCGTTGAGAAGCCCCGAAACACTTTTGGCAGGGCTGGCTGTTGAGTCAGTTTCCTGGCGGGATCCCTGATGGGATGTGTTGGTGTTGGGGAAGTTTCATCTCCTACGTGCAGCAGGGTGATTAGTAATTATGCAGTGCGCGTGGGGTTTTCGTTAGCCAAAATCGTAGGAGCGTAGTCACGTGGGCCATGGATAGCCGGCAAATCGGCGAAGCGACTACTGGCCATGACTAGGCCTTCGCCTGTTTGCGTTCTCTCAGAGCCGACTCGTAATCCACAATTATGTCAACACATATGAAATAATGGAATAACGTTGTGTCAGGACTGGCCGTAAGATTTCAGACTCAGGTCTGCACAATTAGAAGCTTCAGTTGTCAATACACAGCCCGAATTGGCGATCGTAGGCGATTTTGACGAAATCAGCGCATTAATTTATGAATACCCAAGGCCTTTACCCATGGCTTCGAATTATTATTTTGACAATTGTAACACTTCTAACAAAGTTCTGACTTCCCTTCGTATCTGCCTTAGAAAATGCGTCCTTTTCGACTGAGTATGGCAAACTCAAAGCCGGCACAATGGCCTACGACTCTCTCACTTTGGTTGTCAACAGTCCATAGAGTGGACTTAAGCTCCTCTTTACAAGGATCAAGGTGATGAAGAAGAGACTATCAGGACGATAGTCGAGGGTCCCTCACCGATCGTTCTTACGGAACTCACTCGATCCGTTGTGCCTTACGGGCTCTGCCTCGAGCCCAACAAGTAGTCGAACAGCGGCGCATGATAAAGCAGAATGTTATTACCGGCAATGACAAGAGAGCCTGGAGTGCCCATTTCTGCCTAATTAGTCGTCCTCAGCCAGTCAAACCTAACCCCGAATTGAGGAACACCTGGAGCTCGATCTCGCGACCTGTCAGTTAGAAGTCCAACGCCACCAAACACTGAGCCTCAGGCTCGTTTTCCTGCCGATTTCGATAGGGAAATTACTATGGTAAAAGGGTGCCTTTCGACCGTTCTTATGGAACTCCATATTCCCGTTGGACTTCTAATTAACAGGTGGGTGTTCCACACTTGGGGGTTGGGCATGACTGACGGCTAATAAGTCAGAAATGGCCATTCCAGTCTCCCTTGTCTTTGTCGGTTATAATATTCCGACTATTCGGACGATGTGTTTCCATCGGCCCATTCTGGTTTTTTCCTATCCAGTGAAGTATGCGAGTTGGGTGTTTTCTTGAAAATGGACAACTGTCAGAAGACTTGTTAATGGACAATCGCGTCAAATTTTTTTGTGGCACCTACTCCCCTAACCTAACTTCCAGGCCAAATCTAACACAAACTACAATCTTAACGGACCTATCCTTAACCCTCACATTAAACGTTG